TTTGTCAGCTGCTCTTTCATTCTCTTCTAAGGCCACCCCCAATATACATTCGATTTTTGATCTGCTGTTCGTGCTGCAGTCTCCTCCCACTATTCACACTACTGACACCAAAACCTATGCTGTTTCCCCCTCTTCTCTTTCCAACCCGACCTCAACCTCACACAATACGTGCTACCATGTGCACGTACATCTTTGCTATAGAATCGAGCGTCGACTGAGAAGGGAAACAGTTTACATTTAATATAAAACTATTTATAAAAGTAATACGTTAACAATCTCACGGTAATTTTCATTATGTTATTTATGCGTGTACTAAATATTGTTATTATTATATTATAAATTAAGTATAAAAATGACAAAAAATGAAAATGTTATAAAATGCAAAAAAAAAATATCGGAAACATCAATAATATGAAATCTTCATTTTTAACTTAAAAATCTCAGAAGTAAATTTCTTTTCAAAACTGATTAATTATTAATAATGATACCTTTTTTGTTTTCTTTCAAGTTGCAAAATTGTTCAGAAAATATGTATTTTTTTAGAATTTCTTTGTTTTTGTTATTAAACAATTTTTATCTAACTTTTCCATCAAAATAAATAAAAGCAAATGTAAGAAAATGAAATTAACAGAATTTATATTTTCTTTACTTTTCGTATTTTTCTCTCATTTTTTTTTTTCTTTTAATTTTCTTCATTTTCGATTCTACGAAATTTGTTCACTTTTGTTATTAATTCGTAAACGCAGGATTAGAAACAATTGCCACGAGTATAGAAGCATGTGTATAATCTGTTTATGTATCAGTCAAACGAAATCACGAAATAATCTTTCTCCTTAACGTTAATATTTGTAAGCATATATTTACACGGCGAATTCCGTCGAATGTTTATTGTCGATTATATAAAATAAGAGAAATCATACGTAAATTACGTAAATCGATACATCTCACATGGCCATTCCCACCAACGTTATAGATTAACCTTAATCTCGATACAATTTACTCTTCGTCTTTTTCTAATCTTTAGTAAGTTGAACTGAAAGAACCTATTGATTGGCCAGCAAAGGCGTCAACGATAAAGAGGTTAAGACAAAACAATTATCCTTAACGGAAGATAATAAACGGCCTTGCGGACAAACTATAAATAGTAAAACACGGCCGAAAAAAGTGATTGATAGTTGGGTTCGAAATGGTGACCAATCCTACAGGCGGGGATTCTAAACGGTCGATCCGAGCGGACACGCGTCTGCACGCATGCACACATTCATACGCGTCACATGTATACAGTCAAATTTAGGCGTACACGGTGAATTAAACGACGCTAGAAGAATGCTTCCGCACTCTCACGCGTGTGGACGTGAAATGCATTCTATGTTAGTCGACTGGCATGATAGCAATAAATAATAATCCTTGACGGGTGATACTTGTGGGAAGGGTCGAGGGTTTCCGAGTTGGGAGCATTTCGTTAATGATTTTGGCTACTGACTTTATTTTCGCTGGCTTGCGTTCGTCGACATACAATATAGTATACGTTATAAAAACGTTTTCTAAAAATTAATATAGCATAATTATCACACGTTGAGAGTAATTTGATTACTCTCAATGTGAGTTTAATCGATATTCAACTACATTTTTTTTATCTTGAAAGAAATTACTATGTAAGTTTATCTTATTAAGTGATAATGTTTATTTATGATGACACATAGTAAGCTTATTATAATTATTAAGAAATAAAATGATCTAAATAATATGCATCTTGGAATGTTACAAAATAAAATAATTTTTATGCTTTACGTGTTTCTTTTATTGTATACTAACGTCAAATTAGTTAGACATTGTATGTTATCTCAGTCTATCAACAAATTTGTCACGCCTGTCTTAACTTTCACTAGACACTTTTATGCAAGCTACGTGAAATGACTATTGTGACTATTGTATTAGAAACAAAATGCAGTCCTTTATAAGGTTGCTCTGTTAGGCAGGTAAAGATGAAATCGGGAACAAAACAATTATCCTTGAACTGAAGCATTTTTACGACCAATAAATTGACGGTAATGAATTGAAAGTATCTATTTCAAAAAGAAGACCGTAACTAAAGAAAGTCAACTAAACTATGAAGAATGACAATATTCAACAAATCATCTTGCTACTTTTACGTGACACGTTTTTAACAATCATTAATGTACAAGTGTGAAAGTATTAAATGGGTAAAATAGAGACAATCATAGTAAAACTTATAATAATCTAAACACAAAATTATATAATTTTGTATGACTCACTTTAGTCTCTAAATATTATGCTACATTTAAAAATATTGCATATAAAAATTAAGTCCAGCACAATTGTACAAAATATAAAAAATATTTGAGAAACATATTTACACTGATTATTAGTTAATGTAGCAGATTGCGTAGGTTTGCGTTGTTCGAACGGTGTAACATCTCGTAGAGTGACATATGTGCTCAATCCCTAGTCGATTCTCCGCCATGTGAGCAACCATTGAAATAAGGAATTTTCGCAAAAACGAAAGGGAGGGGAAGAAAGAAAGAGAAAAAGAGAGGGAGAAAGAGAGAGAGAGACGTTTGTAGCCATTTGGGAAAATTGAGGGTATCGAAATCAAGCCAGACGGTATCTATTATTGTATGATTAATTTGTATTTCGTTTGCGGTGTGCCATTTTGCGACCAATTGTGTCATCTATGGTTTTACATATCAATATAAAATAATAATTTATTTTGATATCTTAAATATTTTATTAAAATTAAATATATATTTGCCTTAAAAACTTTAATAAAATAATTTGAGTCAGTGTTTGTCGGTTACACTAAGGACGCAATAATTTCTTGTACAGTTCTTTTAATATTACATTGACTGAACCAATTTTCATACTTAAATGACAGTTTTATATTCTCATCGACTACGCTTTGTTCACGACTGTATACCCAAATTTCTCCATACGGTCTTCCAACTGTCATGTAAGCAGCTCTCATTGCTCTGGAAATAACTTAGCACTAAAGTTTTTCTTTTTAGAAGATGAAATCTCGTTATTTAATCTTATATATTAGTTTCTGAAGAGAACTCAACCACGTAGCCGAAACATGTTAAACGTATAGATGTAACGTACGAAGTTGAACATCATTTCTTTATGTATAATTGAAAAAATATATGTTTTATGCAATAAGTTCTGTGCGGTTGGCTCCCACATAGCCTATATTTCTATACTTTATAATTTGTATTATAGAGAGTTCTTTAGCATTTTGTTTATTTATTATTGTTAAAATAATTCGATTAGTGTTAAATCTACTGTAATATTTCTAATTGCAAATCTTTTTCCTTTAACGTAAAAACAATAAACTTGCATTATACGCACGTGTCTCCTGTAATAAATTTATTTCTAACAATAACTATCTAAACGTCTAGATCATGCTGAGATACGCTGGGCCAGAACGTGTCTTTTCGAACAAAACTTTCGAACTATTGCCTAATCTTTGTCGGCATAGAATGGCAAAGAACACCGAAAAATCTAGGAAGAAACCTGGCTTTGTTGCGTTTTCTATGCGCTATTCACATACAGTTTTCCTTTATATCTGGTAAACTACCTTATTAAATTATTTTGTCAAAGATGTACAAAGTATTTCAACAAAGAAAATAATTCTATTGCCGAATTATATTATATGTAGGAACAAATTTTAAATAAAAATTTTGTCTTTTTACGAAGTCTGTGCTTATTTATATAGTTACTTCAGCTCGTGCGAAATTGAAAATCAATCGCACACTTCAGACGTTTCATGAAATATGTAATTGCATAGATATATTGTCTATATTTTGACTCGAGGCTTTCCATGAAGTGCACTTTATAAAGCGATAAATTTCTCTTTTAATACAGACATCGCAGAAAACTAAGCTAACGTTATTTGCTGGGACGTTGAAAATAGTTGTATAGTCTCATTTAAATGCAGAAAAGCCATAAGGGTCTCAGGTATCATCGTGCGCACGAGTTTACGACTCGAAAGTATTTGTGACTCATTCATCATAAAGAACGGGAAGTCATCATGTCCCATGAAGTAAGCATTGACAAATTTGGAGCGTTTAATTTTTCAGATTTCACACTGTCGCGTGTACTTGGTGTTCGAAGAGTCGTTTTTATATCGAAGAATTCCAAGGAGTTGGTTAATCAAGAATCGATACGTTTCGATAAAGAAATATTTGTGTCAGACATATTTTTTAAAATTTCATGTATGAAGTGTACTTTGAAGGAGAGAGGGATTATCGATTCAACGTTTGTTTGCGTAACGTGTTTACTTACTTCTCGCGCCGCGAATATCTTCCCTCCTCACTACTCGGTCTGCTCGGTCGGGGCACCCTCGTGCCGAGCCGAACTCAGCGGGGATGGATCCGCAGTGGTACGAGGGAGGAAGGAGAGCGGGTACAGGGGGAGTAGGACGTTGGAAATA